AAAAATTTTACACATAGAAAATGTCTTGAGACTCTCTAATAAATCTATGGAGCAACAAGAATGGGAACAATACTGTTCTGTTGCTTTAACAATTTAATTGTGAAAAAAAACCCTATTTTGTTTAATAACAACAGATTTATAAAAAAATATATGAAAAATGCCTAACTATATATAATAAACTATAATTTTCACAATATTTAGAATTTAATTATTTTTAATATGAATTAATGTCTCTAATATCGTAGACCGATTTTTTTTTGTTTGTTTTTAATTTTTAATTTTTAGTTTTTAGTTTTTTTTTTTTTGTGTAAATGAAAAGTAAAAAAATATTGGCAAGTAAATATATATATACAAACGAAATTTATGATTTTAGATATTATGATGAGAATCAGCAGTAAAATACAAAAATTCAATAATGTGAATGGCATGTGTAATATATATGTGTGTGTATGTGATGAACAATTTAATATATCTAATTTATTTATTTATTTATTGTCTAGTAGGAAGCAGTGTTAAGAAAAACCAAATCAGCACAAAAATTAGATTCGCTTTAATTTATATAGTAGAGTTTTTCAAAGAAGAAAAGACAAGTAAGTTTTTTTATTTTAAACACAACAAAAAATATTTTACAAAAATCTGCATAATAATATTAACACAAAAACAACTAATTTGGAAAATAATTTTAGATTTTATAAATAAAAGCACAGCTTGTCTTTTCTTGTTTGAATATATGTTTGCTTGTTTTTTTTCTTGTAGTTTAAATAAATTCTCTTCTTTAATAACATAAGATACTAATTATGTAAAGCTTTTTGAGCACGACATATAAAATTCTTTCAGATATTCTATTTAGCAATATATTGTAAATATTAAGGCGATTTTTTAAACTATTAAATTTTTATAATGCGTTACATGAAAAATATTTACTTCTTTAGTAAATTTTTTATATAAGTTTCTGGCTAACTTAACTATGTTAATCTTCAAGTATATTAATTCTAACGTTGTTCAAAATTACAGATCTTATTAAAAAAAAGTCCTGATATCTATAACTAACTATATATTTTATTTGTCGTGCTCGGAGCCTTTGTTCTTCTTCTTTGAATGTTTCGTACTTAGAACTTACCTTGTGGGTCCCGTTGCTGTGCATCTTGTGTTGTCAGTAACAATTCATCCTGAGATCTATCATGTTGCCAGGGTGCGTAGCCTAAAAGAAGAAACGCGTGTTTAAAAATTTTGAAATGAACATATATCCTTAGAAATATGTATTACAATAAAATTTCAAGTCATTAAACTACAATTTACTTGTGGCATTTTATATTATACGCAAGGCTTAAATAATTTAAATTACATTTCATTTATTTCGATTTTTGAAAAATCATTGATTAATTGTTCAAGTATATAACTAACTTATTAAATTATTTGTTAAAATTATATTTTATGTTCACTAATATTTCGATTACATTCTATGGTCTTTCTTCAGGATACTGATAGATTATAATATAATTAAGGTACTGTACTAATTAGACTACAGTCAAAAATTAGTGAAAACAAAATATATTTTTTTTATAATTTAAAAATTGTGCATTATTTAAACAATTAACAAATTAAGCTCGTCATTAAAACAATAAATTTAATTTTGTTGTAATATAAAATATAACGAAAGAAACTTGTTTTAAATAAAAAAGTTAAAACAATAAATTACAACTACAACAAATTTTATATTTAATTTTAAGACTTTTTGTAGAATGTTTGGGTAATTTTTTATAGTGACTTAAAAATTTTACTACATAAAATGCAATTATTTACCTTGACTAGATCCTTCTCCTCCTTGACTTGTACCAGCATTATGATCTAAATCATCCATACCCATTTCTTCATCATTGACCTGAGGTTGCTCCTGTAGCACCATCAACAGCATTATTCCTGTCGATAATGCTGTTGATGATGTCGGAATTTGTGCGGCAGCTGCTGTTATAGCGCCAGCACCAGCTAAGTTTGCAGGCTGCTGAAGTAATGCGGATTGATTAGATTGCATTTGAGAGGAGTTTGAGTTGTCATGAATATCTGCAAATGAAATAAATAAATATTAGTTAACATTCATATTAACATTATTTAGTCATTTAAGTAAAATTGATTTTTTTTATATAATATACATACCAGTCATGGCATTTTCAATGCTCCTGCGCCGAACTTTTCGTCGACGTCTTGATGGACTAGAAGAACCTTCACGTGATGCAGACAAATCTTGTGAATCCATACCTGATTGTGCAACACGTGCACGTTTGGTTTGTTCTAATGTATAACCAGAACTTAATTTGCTTGAACCACCACCGACACTACCAGGTATGTTTAAACCCCGATGATGTTCAGGATTCGGTGCACCAGTGCGATTATCGGATAAACCTTTAATTTGCAATGACTCAGCAGCTTTTAATAAAGCCGCTTATTGATCTTGCGAAATATTTACTTCGCCACGATACATATAGTCCATCATTGCGGTCAACTCCTGATACTTAACATCTTTCAAAATTAGAATAGGATGTTTATCATATTATTGTTGAAGTAAGGTCTAAAAAAAATTCATAATGATTAATTAAATATATGCATAGATGTTATTTGTTTATTATTTATTTAATACTTACTGCAAAATTAGACTACATGCTGATAAAACAACTTTGTGTGCTTTAAGAAATTTTCCTTCAGCAGCGATTGTACAATCCACAAGTGTCTGACTTGTCAAAAGATTGTCAAAGACACTGATCAGAGTGCTCTGATGGTTGTTCCATCGCAAACAAAACTGCTGATCGTCATCCATTTTGGACGAATGATAACGTCAACCTTTCTCTTATACAAGACGTTATAACACGTCTTCAATGTTTTAGCGGGAGTCCAAACTTAATGTTGTTTCTTTCTTGTTACTGCTTGTATCAAAATTCAGTGGGTGCTCTTCTAAGCAAAATAAGGATAGTGTAGAATGGGAAATGACAAGTTCTTTGTTTAGTTAAAGTGATACATCACTTGAGTTTCTTAATTTATTATTTGGTATTATCAAGTAACAATGTTGCCTAAAATGAGAAAAAAAAATTAAACAATTAATAACTATCAAATATAGTAGAATAAAAATATATATATAGTTATAAATATAAACGTTTTATGCAGAGTTCAATTATTGATTCATTATTAAAATAGTAGATAATTTTTTGAAAATATTTTTAAACCAAGATTTTTTTGCATTTAAAATAAATTATCTGCAATTTGTATGACTTCTACGCTCAGGTAAATGTAAGGTCAGCTCAATATGCTATTTATGAACAAAAAAAAAAAAATAACTTCGTCTACACAAAGAAATAATATTTTATATATTATTTATATTTTTAGCGAATTAATAGTAAGTAAAATAAATTGTCATTTTGATTAAACAGAAGTAAAAATGATCGCATATAATTCAACCACATTAATTTCAGCTCAATAAACAATCACAAATAACTAAATAGAAAAAGTACACTTTTCAATATAAACAAAGGATATACGTTAAAGAAGTACGATTTACGAAGAAGACAACAGAAGCGACGAACAGTTAAAACCGCATAAAAAACAATATGAAAAACCGACAATATATAATCGAACGTACGTACGAAAGACAAGACGTCAAGCTTTCTTTAGCTATTTTACTTGAGTTTATTTCTTTTAAATATTTTTTTTATTTACTTATTTATATAAAGAGGTTTTTTTCGAACAGTAGTGAAATACAACAACAAAAATTTTATTTTTTATATTATTTTAATTAATTGAATTTTTGGGTGACCATTCAGCTGTTTCGCGTATTGTCAAATACTCACCATCAGTGGTCTTGCAAATAATTCTCGTATTTAATTATTCGTAAATAATTATTTTTGAGACTGCAAGTACCAGGAATCGAACTCGGGTCCTGCCAAATGTGAAACTCAGAATCAGCGCATCTTAACCAACTGATCCAAAGCAGTACTTGACTTTTTTCTTCGCATATTTTTCTGGAGTTTTGCTACTATTACTATGAAAATTCTTATTAACAATTTTACTTGCTGTGTTTATATTAGAACGAAATCATAAACCAGCTGTAGAATAATTAAATTAATTAATTAAATATATTTTTTTTTATATTTTTAATTGTTAAATTTCAATACTATTCTTTTTGTAGAGGCATTATTTGTTGCATGATTCGTTCTTTCTTAGGTATAGAACCTAATCTAGGAACGTAATGCTGAGAAAGTCATGCTAATGTTACTCCAGTAGTCGCACGGGCGAGACCAATATTTTGTGAATATAAGTTGTAATTTAACGTCAAATTTTCCAGACGAAAGTGACTATTATATTTTAATAGAAACTTATTATATTTCATAAAGAGGTTTTTCGAACAGTAGTGGAATACAACAACAAAAATTTTATTTTTTATATTATTTTAATTAATTGAATTTATGGCTCACCATACAGCTGTTTCGAGTATTGCCAAATACCCATCTTCATTGGTCTTGGAAAGAATTCTATTTACTTATTCGTAAATAATTATTTTTGAAACTGCAAGTACCAGGAATCGAACTCGGGTCCTGCCAAATGTGAAGCTCAGAATCAGCGCACCTTAACCAGCATTACGTTCCTAGATTAGGTTCTATACATAAGAAAGAACAAATCATGCAACAAATAATGCCTCTACGAATAGAATAGTTTTGAAATTTAACAATTAAAAATAAAAAATATAATAAATTAATTAATTCAATTATTCTACAGCTGGTTTATGATTTCGTTCTAATATATAAATACAGCAAGTAAAATTGTTAATAACAAAAACTCCAGCAAAAATATGCGAACAAAAAAGTCAGTTGGTTAAGGTGCGCTGATTCTGAGCTTCACATTTGGCAGGACCCGAGTTCGATTCCTGGTACTTGCAGTCTCTAAAAAATTATTTACGAATAATTAAATACAAGAATTATTTCCAAGACCACTGATGATGGATATTTGGCAATACTCGAAACAGTTGTATGCTCAGCCAAAAATTCAATTAATTAAAATAATTTAAAAAATAAATTTTTGTTGTTGTTTCACTTCTGTTCGAAAACCTCTTTATGTAAATATAACAAGTTTCTATTAAAACTATAATAGTCACTTTCGTCTGGAAAATTTGACGTTAAATTACAACTTATTCACATAAAATATGGTTCTCGCCAATAAATATTGGTTCTCGCCCGTGCGACCAGTGGAGTAACATTAGCATAACTTTCTCAGCATTACGTTCCTAGATTAGGTTCTATACATAAGAAAGAACAAATCATGCAACAAATAATGCCTCTACGAATAGAATAGTTTTGAGATTTAACAATTAAAAATAAAAAATATAATTAATTTACTTATTTATTCAATTTTTTTTTAAATTTTGTTTTTAATAAACTTAGGAAAGTTAAAAATTTACCGAAACGTCTTGTTAAACACTTCAACGACGACGACGACAATGAATCAACCAGGCAAAATTTGTAGCAGATGTTTACTTGTTTCTCCTTTACTTGCTTTTATTTTTTATATTTTTTGCTTTTTCTTAATACAACAATATTTTAACTTTATAATTTTTTAAATAAGATTGCACAGATTTTATTTTTTAAGACGTGACTTATTAATTATTATTTTATATATATATTTTAATTATCTTACATATATAGTATCGAATGTACGGTAAATTCGAACTTAACAGACTTTTCGAACAAAAAAAAATCCCAGCACACGTCCACAATCGTAGCAAGTTAGAGGCAGACTGAAATAAACGACTGCTTGTATCGGAGCAGAAGAGAAATATGAAATTTTTTTTTTTGCACTACCGACCACGGTTGCCACTTATGGTACTTTAGTACCAAAATTGGTACTTTTTTTTTTTTTTTTCGTTTGGTACTCACGTTCAAAAAATGGTCCATTTTTGACGACCCAAGTTTATTGTGGATATTTCCAATTAATTTTTTTTATAAATGCAACTTTGCACTATTTTATATTTTGTTCATTTATAACACTATGAAACCCACAGAACGAGAAAATAAAAAGGTCCAAAAAAATTTTGGACCTTTTTTTACAGAAATGGTACCTTTTAAACCAATTTTGGTACAGAAAAAAATTTTCAAGTGGCAACCGTGCTACCGACAATTTAATGCGCTCTCATCGCTCTTTACACAGAATCTACACAATTTCACGCCCAACTCTTTGGGACAAAGATTTTATTTACAAACATATATACATACATGTGAACATATGTATATAAGCATACATATGTTTACTTGTGTATAAAGAAAGGTGATAAATTTTTGAAGATTATAAGCAAATAACATAAAAATATAAATTTGGAATATAAGAAAGATAAATTTTATTTGTACTATACAATATTATAACCTACTGTAATGTTGGCGATTACAAGGCAGGCATTTTACTACGTAAATTGTTTTTGTTCCAAAAATAATAACAAAAACAAATAAAACTAAGACGGAAGACAACTTTTGTTTTACATATGTATGTACATAAATAAGGTATAAATAACATTACACAAATAAATAATATAAAAACACAATAAACATATAAAACATACATTAAAATATTATGTATTCAATAATTATTTAAAAATACAATAAACATATAAAAGAAACAATAAAAATATATTATTAATAAAATCCATCTTATTTAATGGATGACCCTGTGCGCTTCAAATCATGTTTGGTTTTGGTTTTTTCGTCTATGACTACAACCGTACGCACGCTATAACTGTAAACAGGACAAGAGAGGGAAGCAAGGGCTCAAGTAGGCAACTAACACGACGCCAATAATTAAATGCTTGAAAAATAAGAAGTAATAATTTCAAAGAATTTATGCACTGCATGTGCAGAAAAGCAATCAAATATTTTGTGAAAAATATACAAAAACAAAACCATGCATCATCTTCAGAAATATTGCCTCACATACTCTTTCATACAAAATCATTTAGAGTGTGCAATAGAATGAAGAATATAAGAACAATTTAGTTTTGATTATTTTTTTGTTACTAGCAAAAATTTGTTAAATTTGTAGTAACTATTTCTTTTGTTGGCGTGCATAAACAAATTTAAGGAAAATATTGCACACGCATTTTTTATGTTATGCAGTTATTTTTATTAAATTTCACTGCAATGCGAACAACAATTAGAAATTTGTTTTGTTAAATTTTTTTGTCACTCTGCTTGCGGGACTTTGTTTAAATCAAAAGATTATTTATTTATAAAAGTATAGAATACTTGTTTAAGCTCAATATGATTAGGTAGAGATCCCTAATTAGTACAATATATGAAATATCTACACATAGTAGAAAAAGTCTACGGATATTCACATAATTTTTCTTAAATTACGCATAACTTTTTTAATTTTTACTCAAATTCATTTTTATTTCGTGATTTATTTTAACCAAGGAAACAACAATAAAGTTCCAATATAAAAACTAAACAGTTATTCTTTAAAAAAAAATTAAACACAATTATATGCAAAAGTAGCAATTTTGGCAGCAGAAAAAGTCTACGGATATTTCTTAATATTTACATTAAAACAATAAAATTCACAAAAATCTTAAATTTAATAGCCTGTGGAATAACCCCTGCATTTAATAACCTCTGTTAAGCGTCTTTGCATGGGCTCAACTAGCTTTGCAGTATCCTGTGCGTTTATTTCTAGCCATTCTTCTTTGATGACGTTTCTTGCTATATCCTTGCTGGAAAACATATGCTGGCGAATCTTATTTTTCAAATAAACCCACAGATGTTCTATAGGACTAAGGTTTGGTGATTCTGGTAGTGTTTGAAGTTGCCTGAGAGCATAGTACAGCATCAAAATCCGTACTATGACTGCTGTATGCTTAGAGTCATTGCCCTGCTGAAACAAAAAGGTTGCCTCAAGTTCTAACATTCTGACATTTTCTTTCAAATTTGTTTTTAGAATATTTAGATAGCCATATTTCTCCATTGTATCTTGTACAGATTCATGTCTGACCGCACCATTACTTGCTATACACCCCTAAATCATTACGCCTTCACCAACACGTTTTATTGTTTACTGTTCATCACAGGTTGTGCATAATTTTCTCCTTACAAGTTATCTAACTTTGATTCAAAATATGTAAAATTAACTCTCATCGGAGAAAATAACTCATTTTCAGAACTTTATAGGTTTATTTATACGCTTTCTTGCAAAGCTTAATCATTTTATTCTATTATATCTGGATACGTATGGCTTCTTTCCTGCAATCAGGGTATAATACATGCATTTCTTCAAAATTTTCCGCAGAGTTTTAGGACATATTTTGTTTTCAAGTATTTCGGCAATATGTTCAGCTAGTTTGAAGGCTGTTACTCTTGCATTTACTTTCACCTGGTTGATTATGCTACGTCTTTCTCTATTTGGGGCGGCGAGTGCGAAGTTTAGAAACGTAAGTACTGGTCTATTTGAAGTTATTTGTAATTCTCTGCACAGATGAATATTGACGACCAATATCTTCAGCAATTTTTCTTTGGTTTACGTCATCTTTCTAAAATTTAACAGTTATTTGTCGCTCACTAAAACTAATTTCACGTCTTTTATTTTATATTGTAAAAATTTATTGCTTATATAAAAAAATATTATTAAATGATTAATTTTTAGACTCTTTAGGAAGTCAGCTAATAATTAAATATCATTTAATGACACTTTTATGCTTGCAAGCGAATTTAAATTAGCGGTAAATGTAAATATTAAGAAATATCCGTAGACTTTTTCTACTTCCAAAATTGCTACTTTTGCATATAATTGTGTTTAATTTTTTTTTAAAGAATAACTGTTTAGTTTTTATATTGGAACTTTATTGTTGTTTCCTTGGTTAAAATAAATCAGGAAATAAAAATGAATTTGAGTAAAAATTAAAAAAGTTATGCGTAATTTAAGAAAAATTCTGTGAATATCCGTAGACTTTTTCTACTATGTGTATATTTCCTGAGTTACTTGAATGGAAAATATATATCTATGGTTAGAGATACTTGTCTTGATTCGTACTTAGTTGTTGTCACTTATATTCTTTTTATCCTTGTTAGCTTAATGTGGTGTTGTTATTTATATTGTTTTTTTGAATCAGATTGCTTATCCCCCATGTTTAATATAAACCGTTGATATAATACGAAGAGTCGCTAAAGGAGTTGTTAGGATGTCCAAATTCTACTTTATTTTTAATATTTTCTACATTTTCTTGAAACCGTTTACTAAATTTATAACATAAATAATGTAGTTATTGTTAATATTCTTGATAAACTAAGCATCGCAGTTACCTGATAGTGAGGCAGTATATAAAAAAGCACCCAACTCAATAAACAAGACGTCGCGCATATAATTTAAAAATTCTCATTACTTTTCGATTAAATGTCATATTGCACATATTAAATTTTTTTAATATAAGTTGTAAAAGAAGAATTAAAATGAAAAGAACAAACTTTTGAATTTTCAGCAATTCTCAAGCAAATTATAAAAAGTGATATTGCTTTTTTAAATCAGACAATTGTACTGATTAATTCTTTAATACAGAAGCTCTGTCGAAGATGGTAGACTTCCCTTACCTAGGGGAGTTTCCATTATATTATTATAAAGGACTCTCCTACCATTAACACATTATATATTAAACAAATAATATTACCAGTCAAAACTGGAATCGCACTGGCTTTATACTAAAACCACTTCTTAAAACATAAATATATATAATTTAACATTTTAGTGTTAATTATGATATATGACATATTTTGACTTATATCATTTATACAAAAGTAAAACTAAAAGTTCTACGTTAATTAATTAGAATTAACCACAATTAATTTTTAATTAAATTTAATGAATTCCGACAAAATTTGCTTATTTCTGTGAATAAGATCATTCATTCATCTATTCTTTAAAATCTAGATATTTACTGATATTACAAATTATTATCGATGCATTTATAAATAATTGAAGTAAAACTAATAAACTTTTATTGTCACTAAAATCGGCGCAATCAATTCTATAATTCAATATATCTGTAGTTATTTTACGTTTTGAACTTTTCTGTTGTATATAAATATTAAAAACGGCAAAAAAGTCTGAAGTAAAAATTGAATAAAAATACTTTGTAGGCGTTTCTGCATATAAAGCAAACATTAAACCAAGATAAACTTTGCAATTGTCTGTTTCAGACAATCTGTGATTTAAAAACTCCTACAGGTCAAACGAAGACATCAATTACTTCGGCGCAAGGCAAAGGATATTAAACACTGTTAAAGAAGTACCCACTACAAAAGCAAAATCTGAATAAAAAAAATTATGCATTACATGCATATTGATGCACTGCATCAAGTAACCTCTCAATTTATGTGCTTATGCCATTTAAACACATAAAGCGAACTATCCGAAATAATTTCAAAATAAAAAAGAAACAAATATGTCGATACTCATAGCAGTCGCACATGCTCCTTCCTCGTCATCATCCATTGAGGCGCTTATGCACTTCATGCGTTGATTGTTTTATTATGATGATGTTAAATTACAATAATCCAGCAGTTGAATCGTAATCGCATTTGTGTGGGTTGTCGTCATCATAGCCATCTGTGCCTTTGGTAACTGCAACTGCTCCGGCAGCATAAGGAAAGCAGCAATCTCATTGCTATGCTGTTCCATGTTTGCTGTAGCAATTCAACAAAAGAAATTTTAAGATTTCTATATAACTTATTTTTTTAGTACATAACACATGCACATTTTTTTGTCATTATCTACTAAAGATACGGTTACGCTATGGAAGATATCTCTTTAGATATGATACTCTTATAATTTTAATATCGAATTCGTTAAAGTTCATAATTTTTCTTTTTAATAATAATATTTTGTGATATTAAAAAGTAAAATCTGAATTAGAAACAAATTGCAATCACTTACTTAATATTTTTTTTTTTTTTATTTATATAGTTTTTCGGCGTAACATAGGCTATTAAAACATTCGATATTAGTTATAATTTTAATTAAAATAATAAATTTAATAATTTCCGTTTCAAACTGTCCGACAGTTTGTGTGTGTGGGTGAATGATACTGATTTTCTTTTTATTTTTTTCAAATAAAAAAAATTTATTACATTAGCATAGATTTCAATATATTTGAAAAATTAAACTGGATATATATACATTTGCTTAATAATTAGAATAGAGGAAAAAGGTATTTTTCTTATTAATTGTAGCTGTGCTTAAAGCAAAAATGCCAAGATTTAAGAATTGAATAAACAACAAAATATTTTTGGGCAATACGCAAGAACTTTACTTTATTCGGAAGTTCCAACATATTTCACATGGAACAAAACTTTAAAAAAGTGGCAGCCACGTAAACGAGGTGTTGCAGTCAATGGTTATCCAGGATTATTTTCAGCAAACACACTGGGTCGTTTATATACTGTTCATCCAAAACAACGAGTGTTTTTTTTTAAGACTGCTTTTAATAAATGTACGCGGTCCAACATCGTATGAGTATTTGAGAACTGTCAATGGTCAGCTATACAATACATCTCATGATGCATGTAGAGAATTGCAATTGCTGGAAAGCGATAATCATTGAGACATTACGCTCCGGCATGCAGTATTAAGTTCTTTTCCACATCAAATTCGTCAATTATTCGCCATATTGTTGACAACATGTTTTCTAAATAATCCCAAAGAATTGTGGGAAAAATATAAATGCTCAATGAGTGAAGATATACTACATAGACATAGAACAACAAATCATGACTTAAATATTCAATTCAATCGTGAAATTTATAACGAAGCTTTGATTATGATCGAAGACTTATGTTTACTTATATCAAATCAACCACTTAAATTATTAGGATTGTATTCGCCAAATCGTTTGGCAACTGATATGCAGCGCGAACTTCAGTATAGCTCTGAAGATTTGGTTGAATTTGTTACATGAAGCGAACAAATGTTAACACACCAACAAAAGCTCATTTATGATCGGGTTTCGAACGCAATTGCGGCAAAAGAAGGCGGCTTTTTTTTCTTGGATGCACCAGGTGGAACTGGAAAAACTTTCTTAATTTTAGTCATTTTTGCAAAGGTTAGGATGCAAGGTAATATCGCTTTAGCACTTGCATCATCTGGAACCGCTGCGACATTGTTAGATGGTGGTAGAACAGCCCATTCGGCACTAAAGTTGCCACTAAACATACATTCATGTGAAAATGCACTATGCAATATAAAAAAACATTCCAATATGGCTAAAGTACTTCAAAAATGTCACATCATTGTTTGGGATGAATGCACAATGGCACATAAGTATTCATTGGAAGCATTAAATCGAACACTTAAAGATTTAAATGCCAACGATAGACTTTTTGGAGGCGCTTTAATTTTATTGGCAGGTGATTTTAGACAAACATTGCCAGTTATTCCACGTTCAACCTATGCTGATGAAGTCAATGCTTGCCTCAAATCATATATTTTGTGGCGAAATGTCCATATATTGCGACTTACCGAAATCATGCGTGTTGGACTACAGAGGGATTTAGCTGCAGAACTATTTGCCAAACAATTGATGGATATTGGTAATGGAAACGTAAGTCTTCATGAAAATACGCACTTTATTAAATTGCCAGAAAATTTTTGTAAAATTGTTAATTCGAAAGAGGAATTAATAGAAAGCGTATTTCCTCACATATATCAAAATTTTCAGAACCATCAGTGGCTTCAAAGTAGAGCGATTCTGGCTGCCAAGAACTTAGATGTCGATGAAATCAATTCCAAAATTCAAGCTATGCTACCTGGTAATTTAATTTCGTTAAAATCCATCGACACAGTGGTAGATGAAAACGAGATTGTGAATTATCCCACTGATTTCTTAAATTCGCTTGATTTGCCAGAACTACCACCACACAATTTAGTTTTAAAAGTTGGTTCACCAATCATTTTATTACACAATCTAAACCCACCAAAATTATGTAATGGAACAAGATTAGTAATTAAAGGAATTATGGGGAATTTAATTGAATCAACAATATTAAGTGGAAAATTCAGAGGAGAAAATATATTACTTCCACGCATACCAATTATACCAACCGATGTTCCAATTCAATTCAAACGATTGCAATTTCCAATTCGTTTAGCATTTGCGATGACAATTAATAAATCTCAATGTCAAACATTAAAAGTATGTGGACTGAATTTGGAAAATACATGTTTTTCGCATGGGCAACTATATGTTGCATGTTCCCGTATTGGAAAACCTTCTGATCTATATATGTATATACGGTCAAAATGGCTTAACAAAAAATATTGTTCATGATTTATTTTAAGATAACATGTAATCTAAACGTGTAATCTAACGAGCCAATAAATAAATATATTAAATAGGTCTGAACTATGGACCTGAAAATCATATTATATATATTTAGAATTAAATCAAGAACGCGAGAAACTATTAAATTCAAATTCATGCAAAATTGTTATATTATTCTGTTTAATGAATTATTTTTATTTAGACATATTGAATTAATTGCTGCAAGTTAATTGCTAGACTCATTAAATTTGATGAATGTTACCAATATATGAATGAGCTACAATTCAGTTTGAGCAATGAAGCGTAAACGAAACATTGGACCACTAATTTTAAACAGCAAAAAACACAAGTGCAAAAAAAGATTTAATGAAATAAGTGTTATTTAACACTTACTTTGTGCTCAATGGTCGTTTGTAGATTCTTATCCAAATGCACCTTTATAATTTGGGTGCCATCCAATTTGGCACGAATACGTTTGCCTACGATCTCTGCTGAAAACACTAAATCTTCTAAAATAAAATACACAGCAGTTAAACTACGCGAACGGATTATTGCACCGTCTTGTTTTTACGAAAACTTTGTAGTTACTCGTTCACTATCTAAGTCTTTACGGTGCTGATATAACTCTTCCTCTTCAAGTGGTCCTTGCAAACCCTTATGAAATATATTTCTCATCCACCAGAAACTCCATCTCGAAAATATATTAGCGGTTGAGTAGGGATTCTTTGGGCGTTCAATTTTTCTTCTAGTCCGATTGATGTTAAATTTCTTTATTTACAGTTACGTTTGATTATGATAAACCAAAAATGTAGTAATAAATTCGAAGTTCAAGAAATGAAGATAACCGACACGAGCACCACTCAAATATGGTAAATGCAACAAAAATTTCTTAAATCGTGAATAACAGTAAATAACAATGCAAAAAATTTACAATATTTTTTCAATGTTACAACAAAACTTTATAGACAATGTACGGTAATTATGCGTACTCGTTCTCGTATTCGTACAACAGAAATTATTTTCAAATAATTCCTTATCCTTATGCAAATCATGCAAAATTGTTATATTATTCTGTTTAATGAATTATTATTATTAAGACATATTGAATTAATTGCTGCAAGTTAATTGCTACACTCATTAAATTTGATGAATGTTACCAATATATGAATAAGCTACAATTCAGTTTGAGCAATGAAGCGTAAACGAAACATTGGACCACTAATTTTAAACAGCAAAAAACACAAGCGCAAAAAAAGATTTAATGAAATAAGTGTTATTTAACACTTACTTTGTGCTCAATGGTCGTTTGTAGATTCTTATCCAAATGCACCTTTATATATAATTTGGGTGCCATCCAATTTGGCACGAATACGTTTGCCTACGATCTCTGCTGGAAACACTAAATCTTCTAAAATAAAATACACAGCAGTTAAACTACGCGAACGGATTATTGCACAGTCTTGTTTTTACGAAAACTTTGTAGTTACTCGTTCACTATCTAAGTCTTTACGGTGCTGATATAAGTCTTCCTCTTCAAGTGGTCCTTGCAAACCCTTATGAAATATTTTTTTCATCCACCAGAAACTCCATCTCGAAAATATATTAGCGGTTGAGTAGGGATTCTTGGGCGTCAATTATCTTCTTCTAGTCCGATTCATGTTAAATTTCTTTATTTACAGTTAACGTTTGATTATGAAAAAACCAAAAATGTAGTAATAAATCGAAGTTCAGAGAATGAGAAGATAACCGAGACCACGAGCACCACTCAAATATGTAAATGCAACAAAAATTTTTTAAATCGATGAATAACAGTAAATAGCAATGCAAAAAATTTACAACACTTTTTCAATGTTACAACAAAAATTTATAGACAATGTACGGTAATTACGTACTCGTTCTCGTATTCGTACAACAGAAATTATTTTCAAATAATTCCTTACCTTGCAAATCATGCAAAATTGTTATATTATTCTGTTTAATGAATTATTATTATTTAGACATATTGAATTAATTGCTGCAAATTAATGCTACACTCATTAAATTTGATGAATGTTACCAATATATGAATGAGCTACAATTCAGTTTGAGCAATGAAGCGTAAAACGAAACATTGGACCACTAATTTTAAACAGCAAAGAACACAAGTGCAAAATAAGATTTAATGAAATAAATAACATTTACTTTGTGCTCAATGGTCGTTTGCGGGTTGTTTTGGCAAAATCTTGCGTTCTCCTATCACTACAACATGCTTTCCAGAGAACTTTTTTTCAAGTTCACGCACCAAAATAATTTGTATCTTTTGAAAAGTTTTTTGTTGTGGAATTGGTACATAAATTATAACAGCCTACAACAACAAAATAACAATATTAATGAAACTATGTTTAAAAAATGTGCATACCTTTTTAGTACCGAATTCAATTTCAAGGGCTCGAGTTATGTGCAAATCTCTCAAATAAGGTTTTAAGTCGCTATTTGCTTCAAGTTCCGAAAGTGCTTGAGCAATCGACTTTTCGAAATCATCTGGCTCTATACCGCCTGGTTTCACTATTTTCGAACCAATCATCTGCAAAATAATTTGTATAAACAATAAATTAAGAAACAATAAAACGATTTCCTTTCATCGCTATAGAATTAAAAACATCAACACAATCTGAAAGCATCCTCGCAATTAAATGTTAATTTATTCCAAAAATAAAGTCAACTTCTTAACGTTTATTACCACAAATTTTTATTTCTTAAAGTGAGTTTAAACGTTCAGATTGGTTTTTTTTCACCCTATTGCAAAATTAGACCATCCTTGGTCAAACGTTTTGACAGAAAGGAAGTACATTTTTGCCACTGAACAATAAATTAACACAACACAAGTGCAAAATAAGATTTAATGAAATAAATAACACTTACTTTGTGCTCAATGGTCGTTTGTTGGTTCTTATCCAAATGCACCTTTATCAATTGGGTGCCATCCAATTTGACACGAATACGTTTGCCTACAAACACTAAATCTTCTAAAATAGCTTCATACACAGCATCATACACCAACAGATTGAATGGCTCGAAGTGTAACATTAAATCGCCTCAAAAGTTGACGTGTGTAAGAGTAATTAAGGAAAAATTATAGAAAAATGTTTAACAAAATGGAAACTGCCTTGAAGGCAAATATTGCAAAAAATCACAAAAATTCAAACAAATATTGCTAAATTAAATTTTTATTTACAATACTATCGCTATTGTTATGTCAAGAAATGTTTAGCAAAAATATGAAACCATAGTAAAACAAACAACAATTTCCACACAACTTATATCCCAGTAGAAAACGGATCGATCCGTCATCGAAGACGTCTTCAAGACATGGATACATACATGAAGACCGATCGATCCAAATGTATGACGGTCTTCGAAGACACTTTCATACAAATTAGCCAAATGTCTTCAATGAATTTTTGTGTACATGTCTCGAAGACCGTCTCGAAGACCATGTCTTGCATAACGGACGCATTCGACAGAAAGTTGTGCGCTCTTAGTGCAGTGCTCATATAATTTTTTCACCCTTTTTTTATTTCTACTCTTTTATTGCGCTCTTTAAATTTTAAATGAATTTCAATTTTCTCTTTAAATAAGTAGAAAGAAATTGTTGTATTTTGTACTTTTATTTATTTTATATAATAATTTCTTACATTACATTCAAAATTAAAAGTTTTAAAAGTAAATTATAAATTTTATTATAAATTATTATAAATTTTATTAAGATATTAAAAATAAACTAGTAAAAACTAGTAAACATAGTGAAAATTAATTTAAATAATTAACTTAATATAACTTAACATATCTAAAATTAACTAAAACTAATATAAAATAATTTATAGCATTTCGCTATCATCTATTGTTGAAGTTTTATATGTTTTCAAAAGCGTTGAAAAGGATTTTGGTACAATTAAACCTTCTGATCTTAAGAGTTCTAAAATATCATTACCACAACGCCTGTTAATCCTGTGTTTTTTAAATATAACAGCTAATTTTTCACAAGTGTTTTCAGTTTTTTTATTTTCAACATCCTTTGTTTCGTTTCTAAAACAACTTTCACTGGAATTATTGTCTTCAATATTAATATCAATATATTTTTCAGGAACTAAGTCACTATTTAATTTGTATTGATTTAATTTCTTTTTTTTTAATATTTCATAGTTTAATGATATTGTTTCTTTATTCATTTTGATTTTTTTAATATTTATTTCACAATATATTTATTCACTACACTTCAAAATTATTGCGTCACTTCATTTATAAAACATAGCGTCATCTGAGGCAAAATTCAAATACGTTGCTATGAACACTAAAAATGAGAGAGAAAGCAAATAAAGAGTATTTACATTCATGTTTTGAGCAATTGTTTTGCAAATTTGCTTGAAAATGCGGACGCGGTATCAAAGACCGTCTTGAAGACAATGTCTTCGAAGACCACTTTTTCTACTGGGTTATAAAACATAGCGTCATCTGAGGCAAAATTCAAATACGTTGCTATGAACACTAAAAATGAGAGAGAAAGCAAAGAAAGAGTATTTACATTCATGTTTTGAGCAATTGTTTTGCAAATTTGCTTGAACATGCGGACGCGGTATCAAAGACCGTCTTGAAGACAATGTCTTCGAAGACCACTTTTTGTACTGGGTTATTGCCTTTGTGTTACTTGCTTACTTATGTATTTGCTCCTCTCTATTGTAGTGTTTTGGAATTTTGTTTACCACATATCCGCAGTTGATGGTGTTAGTATTTAATATGGAGTATGCAGGGTTTTTTTAGTTTTATTATAAGATAATAATCAAAACATGATTTGAAATGCACAGGGTCATCCACTAAAAGAGATGGAAATTTTTTAATATTATATATTTATTGTTTCTTTTATATGTTTATTAGGGGTGTTCAGGCAACTGATTAGTTGCTTAGTTGATTTAAAAACTTCATATAAAAAAATTTTAGCATTTTGATGTTAATCAGTTGCTTGAACGACCCAAAATGCGTGATCTGATTAGTTTGTTGTGTGTAAATGGCTTGGCAGCACTCGCATCAACAGCAAAAGCGAAATTTCTATACAAAAGTTCATTTTAAGTTATTATTACTGCACTTGGTACTGGCAGCACCATTAATCAAATTTGTACTAATATGAGAATCACCGATATAGTTGATTCTCTGCTTAGTTTCAATTTTGTGTGCAAATTTTTGTTGTAATCAACTATCAAGCAACTAATCAGTTGCCTGAATACCCCTATTGTGTTTTTAAATTATTATTGAATATATTATATTATTATTGTATGTTTCATATGTTTTATGTGTTTTTATATTAATATTATATATATTAAATTTTTATTGTATATTTTATATGTTTATTGTGTTGTTATATTATTATTGAATATATAATAAATATATCATGCTTTCGGTGATGATAACGGGTAAACGGTGTACTGTAGAAATTAAGTTCTTAAGCAAAAAATTTACGCATTAATAAAATAAAACCTTTGCATTTATTTTAATGCATAACCCTGTAAACTTCAAATCAATTTGCCTTTGATTACCAACACAATAGGTTTTGTACAAAATTTTAAAGAAAACATAACATATGTATACCATATTAATGGGCACCCAAGCACACATACACAGTTATTAGTATGCCTACGAATGGAATCATAGGGAAAAAAACCTAATGTGATGAGCAGACGGAGAAACGGCACCAACCCATCTTCTCTTCTTCATTCTTATTGCACACTCCAAAAGATTTTGTGTTAAAGAGTATGTGAGGCAATATTTCTGAACATGATGCCTGGTTTGTTTTTTGTATATTTTTCATGAAATATTTGATTTGTTTTCTGTACAGTTTTGATTACTGTAGTTCTCTCATATTATTACTTATTATTTTTAAAGCATTTCATTATTGGCGCCGTAATACTTGCCTACTTGAGTCCTTTAATCGCTGTGTCGTGTTTCGCAGTAATAGCATGCCTACGATGGTAGTCATAGATTAAAAAACCAAAACAAAAAACAAAACATAATTTGAAGAGCACAGGGTCATCCATTAAAAAAGATGGATTTTTTTAATATCATATATTTATTCCTTCTTTTATATACACACAGCAGAAGAAGTCTGCGGTCACCCACACCATTTTTTATTAAATTTCGGATAATTTTTTTAATTTTTACTCAAATTGATATTTGTTTTCTGATTTATTTTAACCAAAGAAACAACAATAAAGTTTAAACATAAACAATTAACAGTTATTCTTAAAAAAAAAAAAATTAAACACAATTAAATGCAAAAACAACAATTTTCAAAGCAGAAAAATTTGCGGTCACTTATTAATATTTAATAATATTTTAATTAAAACAATTAAAATTCACAGAAACTTACAATTTAATAGCCTGTGGAATAACCTCTGCGTTTAATACCCTCTTTTAGACGTTTTTGTATGGACTTAACCAGTTTTGTAGTATCCTGTGCTATAAAAGCAGTATAGAAGAGTCATGATCGAATTATTAGCGATGGAAATTTAATGGAAATTTCAACAGATTAATATTTTTGTTTGTGTTTTGCTATAAGCCAACGTGTATGGATTTCTTCTTTTTGTTTTCGTTTTAAGGGAATATGTACGCATTATTTCTTTGTTGGTGCATTAAATATAGTTATGTAAAATTGTAAGTAATGTGTGTGCGTACAATTTGTATGCAAATAATATAATTTTAACTGTAATTAGATTATGCCTAAATTTATGTTTTTTTGAAATTATTAAATTTATGATTTAATAATTATAATTATAATAACATAAATGAGTAGTAATATCTATATTCAGTTTTGTAGATTGTTTGATTTTTCCCTGATATATATTGATATATATAAGTTATGGAACTTGAATATTTTGATTCTGTTCGAGAATCGAATATTAAGCTTAAGCTTACTTAAGTTTAAGAATATTAAGCTTTAGTAGTTAAGTTTGAGAATATTAAGCTTTAGTAGTTAAGTTTAAGAATATTAAGCTTTAGTAGTTAATATAATATTAAGTTAAACTTGTGAATGATTGGAACATCATCTCCAATCGTAATTATATGAAAATAATAAAGACTCCACTCCTTCTCTTTTTGGACTGGGGAACAAGAAAACCTAATTGGCGCCCAACGGAAACAGTCGTTTTAACGACTAAGATAATATTACACCAAAAAGTGTGACTTTTTTCAAAAAAAATATACAACTGTATATTATATTTACAACTACTTCGAATCAAAATTTTTTAAAAAAATATAATAAAATAGAATTCTTATTATAATTAATATTAAAAAAGTGTTACTTAATTCTAAAAAAAAAAAAAAACTGCATCAAACGATAGCAAGTTATTTTCTGAACTAATAATAAAAAAAGTGTGACTTTTTTCAAAAAAATATACAACTGTATATTATATTTACAACTACTTCGAATCAAAATTTTTTAAAAAAATATAATAGAATTCTTATTATAATTAATATTAAAAAAGTGTTACTTAATTCTAAAAAAAAACTGCATCAAACGATAGCTAGTTATTCTCAGAACTAATAATACAAAAAAAAAGTTTGACTTTATAAAAAAATGTACAACTGTACATTATATTTACAACTACTCTGAATCAAAATTTTTTAAAAAAATATAATAAAATAGAATTCTTATTATAATTAATATTAAAAAAGTGTTATTTAATTCTAAAAAAAAACTGCATCAAACAATAGCAAGTTATTTTCAGAACTAATAAAAAAAACACGTGACTTTATGAATCAAAATTTTTTT